AGTTTCCTACTGATTAGTTTATTTCTGAGGTTTGGGGGGTTGTCTGAAAGCCAGTATTGGGGGTTGCTGGAATATTTCTTTCAGAGTTCCATCCTCTGTTATGATGGGTTGTAAATCTTTGATTATTTTTCTTATCCCTTCTAGTGCCGGGTTGTATGTAGTTACTAGAGGTACACGGTTGTTTGTTTTTTTTCTCTTTTCTGAAGCAGATTTTCCCTTCGGGTTCTCAAGGCTGTGTTTATGCTGGTGTTGATAGTTTTTGTCCTTGTAACATCACTAGTGTCCCGAATGTTTATGTCTCTTGGGTCAGAACATACTCGGTGGTATCTGATGGCCTGAATGATGGCACAAGCTAGAACTGTGGAGGTAGTTGCATCGGTCAGTGGGTTTCCTGTATATTGAGGTGTGAAGCGTATCATCCCTGATGTATACTGTGGTGTCTAGGAAGTTGACCTGTGTGTTTGAGTATTCCATTTTTAGTTTGATTGATGGATGAAAAGTGTTCAAATGAGTAAAATTGTTTTAGAATCACCTTCCGTCCATATGATGAAAATATCATCAATATAGCGAAAGTATCTGTATGGTTTTTGTTCCATGCTGTTCAGGAATTGTTCCTCCATGTCAGCCATAAATAAATTTGCATATATTTTACTTCCCATCGCAGTGCCCATAACATTGAAGATAGAGATGTCCTTATCAAAGTAAAATGAATTCAATGAGCTGTGTAACATCCTCAGCAGTGTATTTGTTGTTTGGTGAGGATGATAAGGATCTGTGACATGCAGCTAATCCATCCTTGTGAGGGATATTACTATACAGGGATACTACATCCATAGTCACAGTTATTAGATGGTAATTGCTGGATGATCTTGTTCAGAAAGTCAGTTGTGTCTTGCAGGAAATAGCAGTATTTCATGACTAACGGTTTTAAAATTTTTTCACATTGAGATTTGTTCGGTGAGTGTATTCATACCTGTTATGATGGGTCTGCCTGGATTTCCTGGCTTGTGGACTTTGGGCAGCATGTAGAAGTCCCCATTTCTGGATGATCCGGAATCGCATTTATAAGTTTGAATGTAGGTGGGCTGGAAGTGTTTTTTGAGACCTTTTAATTGCTTTGTAAAGTCCTGCTTGGATCATGATCCAGTTCAGTAGATGGTATAGCTGCCTCTGGCCTTCTTGTATGTATTTGTCCATGGCTCCCCCTTTGTCTATGGCCTGATTGTTGCGCAAATCGTGTATAGCCCTTCGCTAGTGGTGAAAAGATTGTACAGAATTTTCTTTTGCTGGGTGGATATCAGGGATGTAGCAGCAATCTGAAGCTATCAATATAGGTGTCCAGTTTGGGGTTGCGTCCTTGTGGAGGTGTGAAGCAGCTGTTCTTTTTCTTTGTGTACACTCCATTGTCCTAAGGATTTCCTTTCATTATTGTGGAAATATTCTTTGAGCCTTAGTCTCCTGAAGAAATCAAATATATGACAATCTAAATGATCCAATTTGGTGGTTGGGCAGAATTAAGGCCTTTGGAAGGATAGTTAATTTCTGTTCAGAAAGTTTATGCATTTGACAAGTTGATGATTCCAAGTATGTCACAGATCCTTATCATCACCAAACAACAAATTTACACTGCTGAGGATGTTACACAGCTCATTGAATTCATACTTACACACAACTTTTGCTTTCAATAAGGACATCTATCTTCAATGTATGGGCACTGCGATGGGAAGTAAAATGGCACCCCAATATGCAATTTATGGCTGACATGGAGGAACAATTCCTGAACAGCATGGAACAAAAACCATACAGATACTTTCGCTATATTGATGATATTTTCATCATTGGACGGAAGGTGAAGAAAATCTAAAACAATTTTATACTCATTGATGAACACTTTTCATCCATCAATCAAACTAAAAAATGGAATACTCATCAACTTCCTAGACACCACAGTATACATCAGGGATGATACGCTTCACACCTCAATATACAGGAAACCCAGACCGATGCAACTACCTCCACAGTTCTAGCTTCCACCCCCAACACACCAAGCGTGCCATCATACACAGTCAGGCCATCAGATACCACCGAGTATGTTCTGACCCAAGAGACAGAGATAAACATCTCGGGACACTAGCAGACTCCTTCCATAAGAAAGGTTACAAGGACAAAACTATCAACACCAGCATAAACACAGCCTTGAGAACCCGAAGGGAAAATCTGCTTCAGTACAAACAACCGTGTACCTCTAGTAACTACATACAACCCGGCACTAGAAGGGATAAGAAAAATAATCAAAGATTTACAACCCATTTAACAGAGGATGGAACTCTGAAAGAAATATTCCAGCAACCCCCAATACTGGCTTTCAGACAACCCCCCAACCTCAGAAATAAACTAATCAGTAGGAAACTTCCTTCTGATTATGATGCCACAAATAATGGAAGCAAACCCTGCAATAAGAAACGCTGCAAGCTGTGCAACCAAATCAATCCATCAAAAAGTGTCAGACACTCAAAAGGGATTTCATACAGCTGCACCTCCAGTAATGTTGTATACCTTATCCAGTGCAGAAAATGCAGCAAAGGATCTTATGTTGGTGAAACAGGACAGAGGTTGCAAACACGGATGAATTTACACAGACATACCATCAAGGAACATAAAGAAGATGACCTCTGCACACCTGTAGGACACCATTTTCTCACCAGGCCACAATATGGAAGACCTCAATATTTTAGTTCTGAAAGGAAAATTTAAATCCATCCAGGAAAGAAAAACATTTGAACTAAGAATGATAATTCTATTTGACACTAAAGATAACGGTCTTAATTTGGACATGGGATTCCTCAACCATTATCCGACAGCTTTATGACTATCTATTAGCTAAAACTTGACCCCCTCTGTGTGAGTGTTGTATCCCCCCTACTTTTGATGTATCTTATCTGTAGCCCTTTTTTTTTTTTTTTTCTCTCAATCCATTCTAACATTCTGCTTAAACTTTGTGATTTTTAATAGTACTGCTTAGACCTTGAAGAAGGGGACATACCCCGAAAGCTTGTCCTCAAAATTGTATGTTAGTGCAAATAAAAAAAAGTATCACGGACAGTACTCAATTGTTTCTATTAGACTCCCAAACTTTAGTCATGAACCTGCAAGTACATTCAGCTCATCTGTAATGAATGGTTATAACTCCTTTCAAGAGTGCAGTCTATTCATTGTGTATACCATACATACAAGTGATTTGCTATCATTATGAAGTTGTGGCTATTCCATTAGCACATCAAACAATAATGTAGTTTACTGCCTCACTGCGGGAATGCTCACAAACTGCTGACACTTCAGGAAATCGGGCATTTAGCCACAGTGAGAGTTATGGTAAAAAATTGGTAACACTGGCAGGACATTGAAAGTATAACAACAGAGAGCAAATAACAATGATTCAATATAAACATCAAAGAATTGTTGAAGTATAAGCGGTTTATAAGTATTCCCACAGTGGGGCTTCAATATTTTTTTATAGTTTGGAAGCCAAACACAAGTGCTAAAACCTAATATAATTAGAATAGTGTGAACTATTGGCTATTATTACAGGAGTATTTAAACTTAATCAAAATAGTTGTCTTACAATTAACAAATTGCTGGTGTAACAGATAAAGTAACTGTTATATTTAACAATTCTGTTAGCTTGATAACCTGAATGTATTTCCTTATAGTACACCTGTTCTCATACTATGGACATTAAAGTGTATCACACTGCACTGCTACTGTTTGCAGGATATTGATTGACCACAAGACGGTGGTCAATCACGGTGGTATTTCACAGTTTAACTATTACAGACTTGAGTATAGCAAAGCAAAACGCTGAAGGCAGGACTATTCTGCCCATTTAGGCTGAAAGCAGACTACATTTCCCAGAGGAGTTGGTGAAGGGAACCTATATAATCTAAAGCCCGGGATCTTCCTGGAGTGAGAAGAGAGACTAATTGAAAGTGAGGACATGGGCTGGATGCTAGCACAGAACTCAGAGTGCCTAGGCCAGATTGGGTTACATCGGAGAGCAGGAAGGAAGGACTACAGATTGCTGGTGTTGCTGACAAGCAGGACAGCTGACCCTGCAGGCAAAGAGATTGTGAAATCATGACCGGTATCGAAAGTCTAGACTACATGGGCATTCGTGTGTCCTTTCCCTCTTCCAACGTGTTTAAAGATAATTACGAGACACTGTTTCAGGCACTTTTAAATGAGTTGTTGGCACTTTTTCAGAACGATTCCGATCCTCATTCCCCATTCCTACTTTAGTAAATTAAATATTGCATTGAAAAAATATATTTGGAAAGGGAGAAAACCTAGAATTATATTCTCCGCTCTCGTTAAACATAAATCTAAGGGGGGTGTAGGTTTCCCTATAATATTCATTGTGACGGGCGTGGTGTCAGACTCCAGCCCTTCTCACCAACTTGTGACTGAAAGACTAGCCAATCTAAAACCGCGCTGCCACTTGCGTAACAATGCCACTTTCAGCTGCACCCTACACAAAGATTTTCCAGCTCACTGGACCCCAATCTTGGTGCCAACAGCCTGAGAGCGATTGTTACTGGGTCAGGTTAATTATACAATTAACCCTTCATACTGCCACCACCACCTTTTTACAGAGAAGGAGGAAACTCACAAATCTTAGCAGTAAATGATGTTTGAATAACCATCTGTATACACACTGTCACCGCAGACAGATGTATCCAGAGGTTTTAAAACACACAGTAGCACTCTTCAGAGACAGGGATTCTTAGTTTGCATTAACCACCACCCGCATGACATATAGTAATATGACAGACGCAAGGTTGTTCTCTCGTTCTGGGAGGACGTCATATGACGTCCTCTCATTCTCACCGTGCATGCATGGCTCCCGGAGCACGCAGCGCGGCAATTGGTGGTGCCCTGTGTCCCTCGGACACAGCGGATCACCGATCCAAGGAAGGAGCCAAAGATGTCAGCTTGGTCATGTGATCAGCTGTGTCCAATCACAGCTGATCACATGTAAACAGGGAAATGCCGGTTATCGGCATTTCTCTTTCCACGAGCTATCATGCTGACAGCTCGTGAGGAGAGGAGAGCTGGTAATCGGCATTCCTCGGAAGGGACATGTACACAGATCATCAGAGCATTGATGATCAGTGTGCCCTGATGATCTGTGTAGCCCCGGCAGCTCCACCTGTCAGTGTCCATCAGTGCCAGCTCTCAGTGCTCATCCATGCCACCTGCCAGTGCCCATCAGTGCCACATCAGTGCCGCATTTCAGTGCCCATCAGTGCCACATCAATGCCACACATCAGTGCCCATCTGAGCTGCCTTTCAGTGTCACCCATCAGTGCCAGTCAGTGCCACATATCAGTGCTGCAAATCAGTGCCACCTATCAGTGCCAGTCAGTGCTGCCTATCAGTGCCAGTCAGTGCTGCGTATCAGTGTCACCTATCAGTGCCACCTATCAGTGCCATATATCAGTGCTGCCTTTCAGTGCCCATCAGTGGTGCCTGTCAATGCCCATCAGTCCTACCTACCAGTGCCTCCTCATCAGTGCCCATCAGTGCCACCTATCAGTGTCCATCAGTGCAGCCTATCAGTGCCCATCAGTGCAGCCTATCAGTGCCCATCACTGCAGCCTCATTAGCGCACATCAGTGAAGGAGAAAAAAACGGTTATTTACAAAATTTTATAACAAAACTAAGAAAAAACATTTTTTTTTCTAAATTTTCAGTGGTTTTTGGTTTGTTTAAGGAAAAATAAAAAACCTAGAGGTGATTAAATACCACCAAAATAAATCTCTATCTGTCACAAAAAAAATTATAAAAATTTCATATGGGTACAGTGTTGCAGGACCGTGCAATTGTCATTCAAAGTTCAACAGCGCTGAAAGCTGGAAATTGGCGTGGGCAGGAAGGGGGTATAAATGCCCTGTAGGCTAGTGATTAAAGAGCTTTAGAAACAGTTCAACACTTTTCAGAAAAATAGGATTTATTACTAAAAATGTCAAAATGGTACAATAAAAATATTTACAGAAAAGATGTAACCAATATATATATATAAATAATAGAGAGAGCAATAACGCAACAGAGAGATAAAAGAAAGAAGTTTAAGAAGGTAGGGTACTTGCAGAAGTCCTGGGTGGAAGCAGCGTTCAAGTGTCCGGAACAAAAGTGTGCCATTTCTCCCAAGGTTAGTTCCTGATGTTAACCACTTCCCGACCGGCCGTTGTATATAAACGGCCGGACGGTGGCACTGCAGGGTCGGGTGGCCGTCTATAAACGGCCTCCCCACACCCTGCTTGTGCGCGCTCCCTGTGGAAACATCCGATCCCACTGTGTCCTTCGGACAGTGAAACACCGACCTCTGTACGAGGTCCCGATTATGTGATCACTGATTGGCCAATCAGTGATCGCATGCAAAGTAGTAAGCAAGATGTCACTTCTGACATCATTGCTTACTATGTGTGTGAAATCTGTGAATGATCACAGAGGTCACATGGTACAAGGCTATTCACAAAAGCCTTGTACCATGTGACAAGCTGTGACCAATCACAGCTCACTCAGTTCTTCTCAATGAGTGCAAGAATGCACACAGAGAGAAAGAGAAATGATTGCTTTTGCATCCTATATGGGTGTAAAAGCAATCAGTGTAAAAAAAAAAAAAAGTCTTCATCACCCCTCACAAGAAGTACAGTGTCACCATGGTAGGGTGACAGTATGTATAAAAAAATAAAAAAAAATGTAAAAAAAAATGTTTAAAAATTATAATTTTTGCTTATAAACTAATTTGGATTTTTTTTTTACTAAAAAGATAACGGAATAAATTTTGGCTAAGATTTATGATGAAATATTATTTATTTGCAAAATTTTATAAAAAAAAACACTTTTTTTTTCAAAATTTTTGGACATTTCATTTACATAGCAAAAAAAAAATACAAATCCCAGTGGTGAATAAATACCACCAAAATAAAGCTTTATCTATCTAAAAAAAATGGTAAAAAATTCATTTGGGTACAGTGTTGCATGACCGCGCAATTGTCATTCAAAGTGTGATAGCGCTAAAAGCTGAAAATTGCCCTGGTCAGGAAGGGGGTAAAAGTGTCCGGTCTGGAAGTGGTTAAAAGGGAGAATCTCTTCATCTTTACTCCAGGCATGACAGCCTCTTTTCTAGGAACCCAGCAGGGCTTCTCCTTAAAGCAGAGAACTAATTGCCTCATTTGGGGAGGGGTGTTTAGGCAGGGACTCAGGCTATGACCAAAATCCCTCCCAAGTTTATACCATGGCCAATAACCTTCACTAGGTACATGTAGCAGCCTAGCCACTGGTAGATTAATATGCAGAATGATATCCTGAACGTCCAGACATCAAATATGACATATCTTACTGTTCCAGATAAAGACATACTGTATTGCTTTCTACTCTCGTGTAGGTGCCACATAGGGGTGTTAGGTATCAGGTGACTTGTATCAAACTGACCTATCTGAATATATGCTTTGTTTTATTGTACCTTGTTCCTGGCGGGATTTATAAATTTGTATGAAAAAGCGGTTTCAAGTGGGATGTATGTTTTACTGCCGTTCTGGAATGCTTTTCATGTCCAGTGACGGACTGATTTATAGCTTTATGACCAGGCCAAGGCAAGAGTCTGACAGACTTCATGAAACCAGCTAATGGAACCAGCTAAAACCAGCTAAAAAACCATGGAACCAGCTAAAAAAAACCATGAAGCGTATTCAGCTGTGCACTCCTGAACTCAGTACACACACAGACCACATTCCTTGCAAGGGGAGGGGGCTCGAGGGAGAGAAAATTATATTTGCAGAGTGTGATACAAGATGGTGGATCTTTAACAAAATGGTTGTCCGCGTCCAATCGCCACATCCACCTATTACTACGCAGCATTATTGGATCAACTCCAACATTGGTTCATCCCCTTGGATAAGTTATGGGTACAAATAGAGAGGAATACAGTTTTGGCTCAAGACCTCCAGGCATTAATACTTGCAAACGTTATCTCTTTGAAGTTAATACGTACCTATCTTCCTTCGATCTCGGCAACCTTGGGTGCTTGGCTAATGGGTTTATCTAAATCTACTCTCGCTTTCCCTAAAATAAGGTGGGACATACCATTGGCTACTTATGACCACATCATTCCCAATCTTAATAGGAAGCCTTTGAGAGATGCAGGATTTTATAATTTTTCGGATATCCCTACTCTGCACTCCAGAGGAAGCCTTTATCCATACCTTCAAATCCGGGCTTATCTTGATGCCACTCCCAATGCATTGGTGGAGGTGGACTCAAAGATCTGGCAGGCTCTGACAAACCCGTTGGGACTGAAAAAGGGTATATCGTGGTTCTACAGATTTTTACAACATGATCCAGATCATTCCGTATTAACGTGTGTGGAAAAATGGGAAAGGGATCTGAATAAATCTTTTACTCCAGAGGAGTGGCGGGTGGCTTGGTCCTGTAATATAAGTCTTTCGAAGTGCACTAATCATTGGGACAGCTCCCTAAAAATTCTACACGGCAGTTATCTTACCCCATTTAAACTTTCAAAAATTTATTTCTGATGCATCACCTTCATGTTGGAGGAATTGTGGTGGTATTGGAACTTTACTACATGTGCTGTGGGATTGTGGGTGCATCTGGAATTTCTGGAAAGATGTGTTTAATTTGATTTCTCAAGTGTCCAGAGTATATACGAATCCCAATCCCCATCTGGCGTTATTAAATCTTACGTTGAAGTTATTTCCAGTCCAATCCTGAACAGTGGTCGCTCACATCCTAATTGCTGCCCGATTAACTCTTACTAAAGCATGGAAATCCACTACATCTCTTTTAGTTTCGGAGGTTATCCATAGAGTACATTCTCATTACCTGTATGAAAGGTCCTATGCAAATTTAAATCATACTCTACAGGTCTTTGATACTAGATGGTTATGCTGTAATGTTCTGTTCAAGCTCTCTGACCTTTGATAACAATGGATATTATAAAATGTATATTTTAAATAGATGCACTTTATTGGATTATTTTTCTTTATGGAGTTACAGCTTTCTTGCTACTCCATCTTTTCTCTTCTTTGTCCAAGTTCTTTTGGATTGTTTTCTCACTGTATACACTTTACTTCTTTTGTGTTCTATTTGTGTTTTGTTGGGCAAACAACCGTGTATTGTTATGTTTTTGGCATATTATCAGCATAATACTTTCTAACTTTTTGTATTAATGTTGGTGATGTTATTGATATCATTCTCTGTTGATTATATGTATATGTTGAATGCTGTGTCTAGCCGGCATAATTTTGACATGTATGTGATAGTATTTCTGCTAATGTCAAGGTCATTCATTCTTTTGTTATTCGCTTTGAAAAAAAACTTTAATAAAAATGAATTGAAAGAAATCATGACCGGTATCATTCCATTCACAGACAGATCAAGGGGGCCCCCAAACAAAAGACTGTTCTTAACTAAGACTACAGATTTGGTGAAAGGGTTTCACAACCCAAATTGTCTTCAGTTTCCAGATATGCTGATGTGGTTCTCAGTTATTTCAGTACAGTACAATTTGCAACACAGTCTACCACTTGAAACACAGACTTCTTAGCTCAATTCAGTATTGTGGCCTTTAGCTTTAATGTTGTTTCCCTCCTTTGTTGCTGTGAACGCAGGACTCCTCCTGCAGCACATGTTTCTTTGTGGACAGGGATACTGTTAATAACTCATCTTCAATATAGGAACTTGTTTTATCAAGTTAATTCTTTACATACTGGAATACAAATTCTACTGGAGTCTACTCCCTCCCATTCCTCATCTATATCAATGTTTGCCTTCACTTACTTCCACAAAGGGACCCTTTCTAGTTCTGCTACCATTAGTCAAGGAAAGTTTTTTTGACTACTGTGCCTTTTCTTTTTCAGGAACTCTTGCTCTGAAATAAAAAGCAACTCAGCTTTAACCAACTAGGGCCCCAACAAGTGCGCAGAAGAGTTGTGTGTTTTTTTTAATATACATCATGAATAGATACCAAAGGGGACATTATTATTTACATATCCATCTTTGGAGTTAAACCCTGTTTCCAGACATTGAGAACCCAAAAGGGAGTTAGCCCAAATTCTTAATAGCTTTTTCAGCTCATTTTTGAGAAAGATACAGTATCTCAGTGCGGGAATTGAAATTTAACCTCTGTTCCTGCAAGACATTTTGGGTTTTGTTTTAATGTGGTACTGTGTTTGGTGATTTGCCTGAGCCTTTCAAAGTATCTAACATTTGTACATACTTATTGTTACAGTATCTCTTTTGTGCTTGTACTACAATATCTTTTCTTACTCTGACCTCAATACAATCAGAATATTGGTCCACCGTAAACTGTGATTACTTTGTGTTGCAGGGCC